AATTTTTTAATTTGAAAAAATTTCAAATTTTGTTAATTTTTTTTGGGATGGGGTGTGGGGGGGCTGGTAGGGGTGGGGTGGAATTTTTTTGGGATAGGGGGGCTGGTAGGAGGTGGAGTGAACTGATAAAAAAAAATTTTTTTTTTTTTTTGTTTTTAAAGCTTTTAACAAGATTTCTATTATAATATGGGTAAATATGGTTACCCATATTATTCATTGGGTAACTCATTTTTACCCATTTAAAATGTGAGTCAAGTCGAGTAACTTATCCATTTTTATTTAACTCATTTTTTGATCGACTCACTCGTTTGTCACTCCTACTCAAAAGTTACTTCTGTGAATAGAAAAATGGTGTCGTCAAAAGAAATTACATCAACAAAAGTATAAAGAGGCATATTTGGGCATTTTTGAACACATGTTTATGCATTAAAGTGCTAAAGTTATCAAAGATGCCTCTGATGTGATAATATCACATGTTTATGCATTAATAGCCTTCTTCTTCTTACATAGCTTTTCACTTTTAAACTCTTGATTCCCCTATCTCTACCAACCAAGCCCGTATAGCTGCGTATACATTTAAGGAAGCTATATGTGAATAAATCCTTGAGATAAATTTCCTCTTTCGTAATCTTGCTGAAAACGTTACACAGGCATCCATTCATGCCTGTGTAACATTTTGAACCTTAGATGGTACCAGTGGTATTAGTGACACTATCCTAATCGACGTTTACCTTAGGTGCTTTGGATCCACAGATCATCTTGAATTCATTGACAATTCGCTTCCTGAGCCTGTTGTTATTTTGATTGCTTGTATTTGTGCTTACATTGTAGGATTCGTTTCACTTGTGTTAGAAACGTTTCAAAACTTGTGTGAATCACTGTAAGAACATAGTTGAGGGCAACTTTGTGTCTTAAGTTAAAAGTCTATATTAATCAGTGAGGGTTAGTATAGTGGGCAATGCAGACATTGCTTTGGCTCATTAAGTAATAGGTTGTATTACTTAGAATAGAGATTAGGAGGTTAATCTCTTGGGTGGTGTAAACTGTGTTTTACTTTTGCTTGAGAAGATTAGTAAAAGCAGTTTGAAAATCCCGTGAGACAGGTCGTGGTTTTACTCCCTTAAGCAAGGAGGTTTCCACGTAAAGTTGTGTGCTATCTTTACTTTCAGTATTTTCTTTTGTTTATCCTAACTGCGCTAAGGACCTGGTCCTATTGTAGCTAGTGGACACATACATTCCAACAACGATCCCCTCTAATCTTGTTCTGTTATCTGCAAGACATGCCTTCGGGATGTAAGAGTAATTAGTTTCTCCTCAAAGATTTGTTCTAAAAGTCTAATGCAATTGCTCTTGTTTCCTTAATATCTTCATGTGTTCCGTTTTAGTTTTAGTTAGTATTATGATTACTTACACTTTCTATGATGCTGATTAAGAATCTTCCATCAACCACTGAGAAAGTTTGGCTGGCATTTTGAGTACACAATATATGTGGCGCCTTAATTCAATGGAAGTAGCATAGATTCCCAAGTGTCTGCTGCCTCATTCGTGTTTGGAGAATTATTTTGACTAGTAGGGGAAAGGCTCCGACTACTAGTTGATTTTTTGTGTTCAACCAGTGTCCAGTTTTTAGTTGGATTCTCGTTTTCAACTTGCAAAACATGCTGCCCAGAATTTTCAGCATCTTCAACGTTAGATGTATCCATTATTTTTTGTCCTGAATCCATTAATTTTTGCCCTGAATCAACTCGCGGCGCATCAACCCCAACTCTTGGTGTTCCCCCTGCGTTTTTAGTTTCATTAGACATCAAATTCAGCCCAACTTCTTTTATTGCACCTCATTAGTAGCAGCCTATTGGTTATTGCAATCACCTTTGTTTTTGGTAGTTGTTTGAACACCAATATTATTTGTATCAACATCCATTGAGTTTACACGATTTTGCTCGAAAGTGGAAGCAACCAATTTTCGATCTAAAGAAGTAGCTTTACTTTGATCGACATCTACGATCTTTCTTTTTTCATTTAATATCTCTTTCGCATCGCCTTGATACTTTTCACTATTGGTAGTACCTTTTCACCCTTTTGTTTCTGTATAAAATTTATCTTCAAGTGGTTTCCACTTCATTATTAATTTTGCTCTCCCTTTACTTGAAGAAGGAATATTGTCCACAAGTATCTACACTATTGTAGCTTAGTTGACACAAAAGCACTTGTCATAGAACAACTGAATATTTCAGTTTACACATGAACTGTACACTAATTACTCAATCTCGATCAATTTAAAATCACTTCTAAATAGTTCTAAATTTTAGATTTGAAATCCTCTCAATGTTTTGAGTCTTTTGATATACAATTCACTCTAAATCATTCATGTTTATGATACATCAAATTTTAAAGAAAAAAATGGAGTAGATCGTGGAAGACGGAGAAGAAGGAAGACATAATAGGTGCCTTAAAAATTTAAACAGAATAAAAAAAATCATCTCCAAATGTGCCGGAGTAGATAAAAGGTCATTTTTGTTGTAAAAAAATTTACTAAAACGGCGGTAAGGCATAATGATCCCAATAATTAATACATAAATAATTGACCTATGTATAACTAATATCGGAATATAACATATTGATTTCTTCATAATTAATTCCTATATTACTAATATTTACGATTCTAATCAGCAACCCAACAACCCCTTAAAGGATCACTAGCTTGACTCGTTTGGGAATTTTTCCTTGTAGTTGTCACTGAACTCGAACTCTTGCTTCTTGAGCATCATATTTGTAAGGATCAATAATTAATGTTTCAAGCGCTACACTATTTTTAGTAAGGTAAGTGGTAAGTACCATGTCAGCAAAACCACTCTCAACAGTAAATTTTCAGTGTAAGGTAAGTTGTAAATTCCTCCTTTCTTCTTAACAAATCCCAAGCACTCTTAACAATAAATTTTCAGTGTTAGTTTTTTTCCACCAAGGCTTATCCTCATTATCAGACAACTTGACATGATCCATGTGCAATCTAACATGATTAAGCGTATTTTCTAGCAAGTGACGTTGTATATTATCATAATCTCAATCAGCTTCCTTCAAGAAAATCCTAACATCAATCATTGGATGACATGTTTGTACATTTGTATGCTAAAGACGTAATGGACTAAGCATAGTCCCTCCCTTAGGTTCCCACCATAAAATTTGTTCAATACATTCTCTATTCTGCAACATATTCTTCCACACCTAAAAAACCCCTCTCCATTAAACAAGTGTAAGAATATTCTTCTTGCAATACTTAATCCACATAAAATTGGATTATAGGATGTTTTGGGTTCTAAATCTCCACCACAGTTTATATAGCTTTTGAGATATCAAACATAGTCCTAAACCCTAAGCCACCTTCTAGTTTAGGTAAATATATCTTCTCCAAAGTAGCCCTTGTTTACTCCTTAGCTTCCTGTGACTTTATTACTCCAAAAGAATGTAGCAAAAATCCTATGAAGTTGCTTTAAGACAAAACTAGGAGGAACAATAGCAGAAAGAACATGGATATGAACACTTAGTAAAACACGGGTAATACCTCTTTACCTCCATATGTTAACATATTTCCTTTCCATGCTTACAATTTTGACTTCACTCGTTGAATAAGCTCTGAATAGTGCTCTTTTCTTTTCCTTGAATGAGTTTAGGACAATTCAGACATTTAAAAGGAGACTGACCCCTTTTTATGTTTGTACAATCTTCCACTACTTGTCTATCTTCCGTTGCTACATTCTGATGTAGATAAATTGAATTTTTATCATTATTCACTTTCTGACCAAATTATGTCTCATAATCCTGTACAATTGATACTATTTTCTTTAAAGAATATGCATTAGTTGATGTAAAGATAATAGTATCATTTGCATAAACAAGATTATTTAAATTATAACTCCATTTTGATAAATGATAGCCGACATATTGATTATTGATCATCATCAAATAAAGAGGTCAGAGACATAGTTAGAACTTTAGATGACAATATGAAAATCAATTCAACATTTGGTTTATAATTTAGAAACTTACATAGCTAATACATGTATAAGCTACGAGAAACTATATGTATTATTTGTTATCTCCTGTATTCAGGTTAGTTAAAAATACAGAAACAGAAAAAAGA